TGTGCTCAGATTTGGGTGCACGTTAAAGAACCCCAGGTGGTCTAAATTTCCGAAGCACTCCACTACGGCGTCTCTCATAGTAATATGGGGGTTTTGGGACGTTAAATCCTTCATAAGGCCTAGTATTGTCGTATATACTCACTCTCCGCTGTTAGAGTGCATGAATGGTCCTTGCTATAGTCAAAACATGTGCTCAAGTGTTAATAAGATAGGTTTACAAGACACTCAACAATCATGATTGTGAGAAAGAATATAAAACAGTTTTAAGCACAAGTGTTTTATAATGGTTGGTGAATTAAACGCTGACTTCATAGACCCTAGGACTGAGCCTTCTCGTCGACTCTGAATGCCAGGTGATGACATTGAATTTGCTTGTTTACCATATGGGAGACACGTAAAAAAGTGTTTAGAAACACAATAATATCAATCGCAATTGGGACACTTACGTGCATTTATACGTAACACCTACAGGCACAGAGCCTGCACACTAGTCGGCTACTTTAACGTAGACATTATGGACCTTAGGATTAAGCTTCGCCCACTCATCATCAGTCACTTTGTGGAGATGCGTTGATTTTTTCCATTTATCTGGCCTCTTTCGTTATGAAGACTACATAGCAGACGTTTGAACGATCCTAGTTTAAGAATTTTTTGTTTTGTGATCACCTACATAAAGAGTATAAATTAAACCTATAGTTTTTCTTTTTGCACTTTATAATAGCCAGGTTACAAGTAACGAAAGTTTAACACAGGACCGAACGTTGCAGCATAACCAGTTCAAGCAGGAAGGCTTTTCCCCATGATTCAGTCTAAATGTGCCTTTGAGTACTTCGCTTCATTATCAGTAGTGCTGTGGTTTAACAACGAGGTGCCGCAAAGCAATGTAACATTCAATCGTCGATTGGGTCGGCCTTGAAGCACCCGTTGGGTGCAAGCAATGTTCTTCCTCGGGACGGCTTTAAGCTCTCCCATAGTAGAGTACCCTGTGCTCTAAATCGTTACCCCCTTTTTCTAACCCCCCGCCCCCCCGGACATCATCGGGACAGCTTTAAGCTCTCCCATAGTAGAGTACTCTGTGCTCTAAATCGTTACCCCCTTTTCTAACCTTCCCCCCGGTGCCGCTTAACAGGGGCCGCTTTTAGGAGCTTCGCCCCTCTCATAATAGAGTACTAAGTACTCTAAATCGTCAACCAAATTTTCTAAACACAATGCTCGGTAAAGAGGTACACGAGACGGCTTGTAGCTCTTCTATAGTACAGTACTAAGTAGCCTAAATCGTCAATCACTCTTTCTAAACACATCTCTTTAAGGCTCTCCCATAGTAGAGTACCAAGTGCTCTAAATCCTAAACCACTTTTTCTAAACACACTTTGGCATTCACTACGTTGAGTGCAATGTCTGTTTCTTCTCAGTACAAGTAGGGTATTTTAGCGGGACGGCTCAGTGCTCTCCAATAGTTGAGTACGAAGTACTCGAAATGGGTAAACAGTTCTTTCTAAACACTTTCTTCGTTCATACGTGTCGGAGCGGCTGTACGCTCTTTCATACTAGAGTACAATGTACTCTAAATGGTTGAACACTTTTTCTAAACACACCCTTTGTTTCCCCTATACAGTGACGGGAGGTTACAGCTTGGTTCGGGTGTTGTTCCTAACACTCAGATCCTGGCCAGAGCGCGATTTCGTCGACGCGGCCTCATGAAGGGTGAGACCAAAGTGGCGGCTTTCAGCTCTCCCATAGTAGAGAACCGAGTAGTGTAAATTGTTGGCCACTTTTCTCCTAATACACCTTCAGAAATCCCTCTACCTGGAGCCTATGGCTCTCTCATAATAATTAGGCACATATTGTCCACTATAGTGGTCTCAATTTATTTAAAATCCCCATATATAATATGCTCGTCTACTTTCCCATTGCGTCTTATAGGTACTACGTCACCTCTTATCCGTCTGCAAGTAAGTAATGTTGTAATCACTCTAATCTAGTGAAAATTGATGCGGTGCACAGCTGATTCAAACTGTGTGTACGTGCCCTTGGTTAAAAAATGCTTATATTTGTTTTGTAGCGTAAGCTATAGTTGCCGACGTTGAGCAGTTTCACGTGGCTTACGATGGGCACTTCTGCGCGAAGCATGAATAGTGGTGACGTCACAAAGCGAGGAGATGGTGCGCTGGAGAGAGCCTCCAGGAACTTCAGTTCCTGGAGTGACGTGTCACTATAGTGTGCTTGCGCTTGTTTTAAGTGAATTCGCTCACTCGCTAGTCCATCCGTTCATCCGTCGTTCATCCTTCTTCCGTCCGTGGTTTGTCCGTCCGTGCATCCATATATCGGCGCTTCGTTCGCTCTTAGCCCATGCTATGTATATTGTTACGAGAAGGAGACCGACTTGGAGGGGTAGACACAGATGTATTTACAGACGGTTAAGCGAGCAGCGCCAGCCACAGAGATTAGCTCGCGCCTGTCTTCTTTTTCGTCTCCATGCACTGGCACGTAGCAATATTTTGACATAGCCCCGCTCACTGCTACCTTTCTGTACATTGTTTACATAAACTTTTTCGAAACAGTGCAGTACGCATAGTGGTCTTACCTGTTAACCTAGTTCATAAAGAAGCAGAACAACCACCTTTCTCACATCTATTTTTTTTCGTTACGTTGCCATGTAGAGCTGACGTTCTTTTATCGCACCCATCTTTGCTTTCTCTCGCATTTGGGCCGTTGCCTTTTAAAAATGCATATTTACAGGCAGGTGTAAGGATGGAGCTCAAAGGGTGAATAATGCATTATGGTAAGACATCTCCATGGCCAAAGTCATCGTCTTTTTGTTTTCTTTAGGACAAAAACCGTAGGTGCACCACCAAGCGCGTAGGTGTTGAAAAGGAATTTTATCGCTTTTTTTCTATGCGTTCAATGCAGTCGATATCGCATTTGTTGTGAGGGTCCCAAACTGCGTCCGCATATTGTAAAACAATCTAACTAAAACCATGTAAGCCACAAGCTTGGTTTTAGAAGTGCAATGCATCATGCAATTTATTAGCTTGTAAAACTTTTTGAAAGCCTTGGAAACTGTGTATTGCACATGACTACTCCAGCTTAGCGTAGAATTGATGTGCAATCCCAAGTATTTAAAATCGTCTACCGAGACTAGTGGATGGGGTTTAACATCAGAAAATCACGATTTCATTATGAGGTATGCGGTATTGAAAAGCCTCCGGGAAATGGCTACCTCATGGAGTTCTTTAACGCACACCTAAATCTAAGCACGTGGGACCCTCGAATGTTCGCCTGCATCAAAAATGCGACTGCAAGCGCTAGTATTCGATTCCTCCACCTTCAGGTTAGCAGTCGAGCATCATATCAATCCAGACCACAATGGCAGGTATCTTTACTTACATGCATGGAACATTCCTTGTAAGGTCTTACACATTCCGTACACCTAGTAACAGCTGGAAGTTTTCTGCTTGTGAAAAGCGAGATACGGTTAAGGGAAACACTGTAGCCACCACTTGTTGATTTTTTAACACACACCTTAGTACAAGCACAATCGTGTTCTATGGCGTATGGTCCTATAGCGAATGCGTCAACCATGGACAGTAACCAAACACGCACCCTCGTACTCCTTTACAACCACGCGATCATACAGGAGGACAATATATACGAACTCGGCGATGAAATTATGCAGTACTTCATTACATTCGGAACAAAATGGTAGTTCGCAGGCACGCAGCATACAGTTCTACGCATTACGAAGTACATTTCCGTGGCACAGTAAAAGACGCATCTTCCCATAACTGCCCTGCCCATGAAAAAAAATAAAAACAACCATGAGTACAATATAAATGTCTAATCGTGTTTTGGTGTGCACCTATTTGAAAATAAAGCCTATTTTTGATGGAGGTGTAGTGCGTGTTTCGGAATACAACCAGAAATAAAAGCACCCTCAAAATTTTTCTCTTTCTCTCCGCGTTTGATTCTGTAACGTCGTTAGTAGAAATACCCATCCTCAAGACGTTGCCACACACTGAAGAGTAGGGGAGTTCTGTCACTGTCCTCAGTTCCTCGAGACGCTATCCATTTTTTTCCTTCTGGTTCTTGCCGTCTATATAGTTACATGGGGTAGAAGCAATGCGTAGAAGTCTGTCAAGTCCCCTCATGCAGCCCTCCTTAAACGAAAACGCTGTACCTTATCACGTCTCGTCGATGATTCTTGGTCACGCTATGCCACTCTCCGGAACCAAACAAGCTCGTAAGAAATAGCGCCGAGACGACGACGGTGAGAGGTCCTTCAGTCGACGCTGCTGCTGTTGCTTCGGCGGTAATCGCGTGTCGGGGATAGCCCTTTTGTTTTTCGAAGGGCGCCAGTATGAATATCGATGGCTGTTCCCGCTGCGGGAAAAGGTCAAGGGTCCATGGTTCTTCTTCGTGCGGAATTTCTGATGACCCCCAAGAACTCCAACGTATTGGGTGTTTTGCCGAATCATAAACTACTAATATGATTGAAAAAAAACACCTTCCCAATATTAAGGACCATTCCAAGACACATTTGTATTCTCAATTTGGGGCATACGCATATACAAAATTTGCCCGCGAGGTAAGGCAAAAAGATGACTTGAACTTCCTGAGGAGGCTTTTCCACACTGGGGCAGCAGATGCAACAAATTAGGAAATATTAATTCATCTTTGTAACCTAATGAATAAACATAGATATAAATGTCATTATAGCAAGCGTGTACACAACAGTTACATTAACAAAACAATGCCATTATTGACCATAAAGCAACAATGAAATCACAGTAAAAAATTAAGCAAAAATACAAGAAAACAACAACACATCACAAAAGTAATGAGTTATACTAGTGACAATACTATTTCATGTAAGGAAGAAGACGGAAAAAAGGAGACAAGGGTGCAATCTTTGGAGGTGGAGGAAGGGAGGAACTGAAATAAACAGCAATGGCGACCGTATTGACTCTGTGATTCTCAGTTTCGTTACAAACTTGGCGCAGCTGTCGACAGGATCCTGTTCTACGCCCCTGAGCAGCCAAAACTTCCAGAGGACAATGTGCGTCTACATCGATGCAGGCCGTGTGGGTGATGTCAAGACGGTAAGCGTGGTATTGTGTCTCTATGGTGGAAGTACGACCTGTTCGCGCGAGTTTTGAGTGTTCAGTGACACCTTGCGAAAAATGAATGATCACGAACTTGAAGATGCAACTGCGCATACTCCAGGGCGGCGCATTGAAGCCAGGCCACAGAAATCTAAACTTTCGAAAGCGGATATCGCTTCCACTGACTTAAACAGTGTTTTAAGAAGTAATGATGTTTTTGAAGCTGTAACCAAGCAGTAGGAGGTGAACACATATCGGCAACATCTGTAGGAGCTTATAAAGCGAACATGCTATGACCGATATCCAAAGACACCAAGAGAAATAATTAAGCCAGAGGTCTAAGATCGATCATCATCAATGAGTGTCCAGGCCTCGCTTTACTTTTATGAGTATGCGTGTAATCGATATTCTTGGAAACGTGATCGTGATAAAGTAATGAACCTGCAATTGTGCTTGGGAGGCGTCGCCGAGATGTGGCACAAGATGCGAGCAACAGCAAAGGCCGAACATATTTACGCAGATCGGAGGCAAAATTTTCTGTGCGCTTTCTTTGAAAACAAGTTTCAGTGTGGAGACCGTGCATTAGCCTTGAAGTAATCTTCTGGTTTGGTTGTTAACTATATTTCAAAAAAAGAGGCTGTTGCATGCAGTCAATCCTGCTTTCTTTGGCTCATCACATCTGTGTCTGGTAATAATGAAGCACCATCTTCACCTTGGAAGACCTCAAACGCCCGAGGAGATAATACAGGTCATGGAGCTGTTGGTTCGACAGCCACATTCCACGGCGCCCGCAGTGAGCATGCCCGATACGCTTCCAGCTCCTGATTGGTGAAATACGCCTAGCAAACCAGATTAATTTGTGAAATAGAGCACGAGACAGAAAAAGAAGCATGCAATAATGAAAGGAGCATCTGAAGATATCTTGTTTAAAATATAAAAAAAAAGATTTTTTTTACTGAACACGCCAAGCTGGTGTACGTGTTTCCGCAAGTTAATGAGAGAGACGTGAAAGCTCTCGTTGACAGCGGAGCATCTATTATTGTATTCACCAAGATCATCATTACCGAGTTCAATGTAAGGAAGGAGTGTCCTGTCATCGTTCGTGGGTATGATGGAAAGAAACAAGTGCATGATGAGTGGATAGACATCTTAATTACATGTCAAGGCAAGATCACCATGGTGAAATCACTGGTGCTTCATGGGATGAAATGTGAGATTCTCCTGTCACGTACAGTTTTGAAAGAACTACGTTTGGATCTCTACCGGGATGGGCAAGTTACCACGCAATATAACCGTAAGCTGGTCACCTTCACAGCCGTCGGTGAACATACCCGTAAGCCCACTGCCGCAGATGTCGTTCGCATGTATTCTGAATTGCTTTCCATAGGTGGATACCCAAAAGCAACCTCAAAGTCTGAAGTTCCATTCCAGCTGCGAGAGACAGCAGTGGGAAAGCGAAAGGCCTTTAACATGTCGAGAGAAAGGAAGCTTTGGCTGAAGGGGCAGCTACAGAAAATGCTTGATGCCGCAGTTACACGGCCTTCTGCGTCTGCTTTTGCCTCGTATATAGTCTGCACCATTTACAGACACATAAACAAACAAACAGACCCTTTCACTTTTCAGATGTCGCATATTGACAAAATGATTAATGAAACCAGAGGCTCCAAAGTTTCATTTCGTCTTGAACTTTGCTAAGAATTTTAGCAAGTTTCTTTGCAAGAAGAAACTAAGAGGTTCTCCACGTACATTACACCGTTTGACGTGTACGAGTACAACAGACTTCCATTTTGGCTGGAAAAAGTTGTCCGCTTGGTTTCAGTAAATGAGAAACAGTGCTTTGAAGCCATACTTGAGAATCTTCTGTAAAGTTTATATTGATGACGTTCTCGTGTACTCCCAGTCAGTATAAGAGTGCTCTGAACACCTTGGAAATGTGCCACAAGCCCTTAGTGACGTGAACCTGAAGTTCAATGAGAAGAAAAGTGAATTATTCAAGTGAAATTTCCTAGGAAGAGTGTTTGACGGAACTACCAAGAGTACTAAACAGGAGTCCGTCCAAAGAATCATGACACTTACGAAGCCGCATGGCATTCACCAACTCCAAGTTTTTCTAAGACTCTCGGGCCACTTCATAGGTTTTATCGAAAATTTCTGAAAGATCACAAAGTGCTTGATAGAGTTCACAAAGAAAGAAGTGCCCTTTGTTTGGACTAAGGAATGGGAAAGGGCTTACCAGGTAATTTTACAACGCATTTTATCGGACCCTGTGCTTACCTTAACAGACTACAGCTTACCTTTTGGGATGAACGCGGACGCCTAAAATTATGTTATAGGGGCTGTTCTGTACCAAAGAGATGTCCGTTCACCTCTAGCTCAGCAGCTTATGGTTATAGGATACTACTCCTACACCCTCAACCGAATTCAGCAGAATTACTCGACAACTGAGATGGGGGCTCCTGCCGTTTTGATGGTAGTCCGGTACTTTCGTTCACACATCGACGGAAGAAAACTTGTATTGTACACAGACCATCAAGCACTAATGCACTTTTAAAGATGCCACAGCCTCGAAGGAAATTGGCCCGAATGGTCAATGAACTTCAGCAATACGAGTTGGATGTCTTCCATCGTGCAGGTGGCCATCTTACAGACGCCGATGCCTTGTCTCGATCAGCAATCAAGGTCCTGCATGAAACCGTCTACTTATCAACATTATGGGAAGGGTATGAAACTCTTCGATTCAAGGATGATAAGTTCACTGTTCCAGGGACACTGATTCAAGAAGTTCTTCACTTGTACCATGAAAATCCGGAATTAGGTGGTCATGATGGTTTTTGGCGGACCTATAACAAAGTTTTCAGACGCTGCACATGAAAAAACATAAGAAAAGCATTGAAGAGTATATCAAGTCATGCCACCTGTGCCAGTTGAATAAAGCTGAATACCAGCCTTCGACCCGACGAGGTCGTCTTGCCAAAGTACTCGGAGAAACCTTAAGTTATGCACGTAGACTTTGCGGACTTGAAAAAGAGGAGTGCTGGAGTTCGCGATACACAGTCTTTCCTGATTGGTATAGACCAGTGCACAAGAATGGCAGTCGCGCATCCTGGACAAGAAGACACAAGCAGCGTCATAGCTTTGCTTGACCGAGCGATATTTTTACAGCTAAAAGTTGTAATATCGGGCAATGGACCGGGATTTTTGAGTAAGAAGCGGCAGCAGTGGGCAGACAGTCGGGGTGTTACACTACGCCGTGGCGCTCTCTTTCATCCACAGGCCAATGGAATGGCTGAAAGGGTCATCCGTGACATCAAGACATTCATCTTCATGTACCCAACGTTTAAAAGCGGGTGTAAATGGAACAGGACACACATTGCGAGCCTTGGCTGCAGCCCACACTTTGCTGCTCACCGTGAAGTTTCAATCTTGCCAACCGGCAAAGAACTTAGAATCAATGACAAACTGCAATTGTTTGAACAACACGAAACCAACGAAGAACGAAGCAGGTATCGAAGGGCGATCAAGATCCAATTTGACAAGCGACACCCAGGCCACAGGCCGGATATTCCTCTAAACAATGTGGTGCTTGTGCGAAAAGGTCTGCCCAGTATGAGAACAAGGTTTCTTGGGCCTTTTAGAGACGTTAAGATATCTGTACAGCAAGGTATGCTCAAGACCATAGGTTACCTGAATGAAAGACAACTTCAATTCGCCGCTGCAAGCAACGTTCTTCGCTATCACTCCGGGAGAGGGGAAGAATAAAAAAAACGGGAGGCATGTAAGGAAGAAGACGGAAAAAAAGAGACAATGGTGCGGTCCTTGGAGGTGGAGGAAGAGGGGAACTGAAACAGACAGTAATGACTTCGTGTCGTTACATTTTATAACATTATGACGCAGTCAAGTCACACTTACGGCGCTTCTGTAAGCGAAAGTTCTACAACATATCCGCGTTCTGGGCAACAAAAATATTCATTATCAATTGTTTAAAAGCTCGACTTGTTTAAAAATTTTTTATTACTTCTAAAACGCTAGGATACATATTGACTAAATACGTATCTTCATACACAATGGTTTGCAAACCAAAGTTTGTGCAGGGTGTCCTTGTTACTATTGACGTGTGGCGTAAACTGTATTTTGTGTCTCGACTGAGGTACCGGTTTAAAAATACCTCGGAGTTGCCAGATACCTCCTTATATAGCCGAATGCAGATCTTCACTCTGTAAAAGTTTCTAATCTAACTAGGAATCCTATTGCCCGACATTAGTTTGGAGTACCGTTTGTATTCATTTGAAAAGTTGGGCAAACGAATTGGTGGTCGTTGTAGTACTGCCAGCTTTGTATGTCGGTTTTATTACCGTTCCCCCGTACTGATAAGCCATAGCTAAGATGCGAATGTACAAGAAAAAAGTATAACGGTCTAAAATGTGCCACAAGTGCATCTTGTACATTCGCATCTTAGCCATAGCTAAGATGCGAATGTACAAGAAAAAAGTATAACGGTCTAATGAGCTTGACAGGCGCATAGCATCGTATTCGTTGAAGTAAGTCAACTGATCGCACAGCTTTAGTTCGAACTTTATGTCCTCTGTCCAGCTTAAGTTTTGGGAAACATAACAGCTAAAATGGGATGGCTTGTCACATGTCCTAGCTGCGATTCTATGTAAAACAATTTTTGCAGCCTGTTTTACTTCTTTATTTTTAGAACGAAAAAGCAGTAAACTTTGTTTTCTTCACATTTAGGATAAGTTGATTTGTATGTAGCTAGTGGCGCAGTTCGATTGGTCAATTATTTGCCGTGATTTCTAGTTCTAGATTTGCGCAAACAAAACAAGAAGTGCTCAAACAGAAAAGGTGAAAAGGATAAAGGTGGGCTTTAAATATCAGCTGCTAATTTATACTTTTACTTGAGATAGCGGGGGTGGGAACAAAGAGGACAGACAGGGTGGTCAACCAAGCTTTGACGCAGCAGAATGTCCTACACATGAGGTGGAGGAAAGAGC